ACTGAACTAACATTCAGTCCAACGTGGCTCTGATTTTTAAGCCACAGCCTGGCAAGCCCAGATTTTGGCAGCACCCTAACCTCCCCGGCTTGAACCTGGTATTGTAGAGCCTGGCAGGACGTTCCCCATACAGGTCACTGTTATCTGCCCCAGTGACATCTGGGCAGTGAGCAAGCATAGTGCCAGTGCTGGGACTGGTTTGGAAGACAGAATGACAGTCGTGTGAGAGCAGTGTTCGCGGCCCTTTCCACCCACTGTGCTCTTGTGACTCTTCTTCTCGCAGGTTTCCTAGGAAATCAGTTGCCACAGTAGCAGAATGACCAGGACAGGACCTTCAGGAGGAAGATTCCAGGTTGCTAGAATAAGCCACTCAGGATAAGCAGCACTAATGTTTCCTGATACCCTGAGTGGACTCCTAGGTTCTTCAGGGAGCGAGGGACAGCTCTTCTGGGAGGTGACTGCAGGGGTGAGGCTGCACACCCTTCCAGCAGTTCCTCTTGTAGGCTGTGTGCCTCCTTTTTTGTGTTCTCCTGAGGCTCCTTTTGTTTCAGATGTGAGATGTGGTGGGACTGTGCGTGAGTCTGATGTAGACGTCCAGCGCATCCCACTTTACGGAGTACCATTAAGACAGAGACCTGGCCTTCTTAGTTGCAACCCAGCCATCTCTGTCACCCCTTACTGTAGATACATACGTGTCCACCATGGTGTACTGTAGGTGTGTAGTGAATCCTGTTGAATCACTACATCACTTGTCAAGCAAGTGGATAATAAAATGCCTGACCTTAAATGAGAACTAACCTTTTCTAGAAAATCTTTTAATGACCAGAATAGATCTATGGCTATTTCATGTTCATTATATAACTATGGGAGCCTTATTTTTGCACCTCCTCTAATTCCTTCAATCATTGAAGTCTAAGGCATTTTGGCATCTGAATTAGGTAGTGTTCTTTTCCATTCTTCAAAAATTATGAATGTAGTTGTTTATTTTTTGATTGCTATTTCAAGTTACTTTTACTTTTTATTTGCCCACCCCACCATCATGCTGGGGATGGACTCCAGGTCCCACATGTGCCAGGCAAGTGCTCTACCACCGAGCCTCATCCCAACCGTTTTCTTAATCACACAAGTATGCCCTGTGCCTCTTGCCTTAAAACGCATTCTTCCTAATCCCTATAGCTAATGTTTTTTTTTTTCCTTGACTGTAAGATTCTGAAAGACCATTGTTCACGTTATTTCAACTTCCTGACTTTCCATTCATTCCCCAGACCTTCCTCTGGATTCTGCCCCACGACAAAATCACTTGTGTCTATATGACCAGTGACGTTTGGTTCCAGGCAGTGAGGGACAGCTCTTCTGGGAGGTGTCTGGGAGTTTGAGTCCTCATCTTGCTGGAATGTCCTCAGATGACAATATAGGACACATAAAACAAGCCCAACTACAACAGTTGCCTACAGAACTGTGAGCTTCTTAAGCAATTTCCTCTCCTCCATTTCTTTCGGGCATTAATGTGAATCAGTTAAATTAATCATCTAATCATCCCTTTTATTATTGCTTTGTAGCTGTTTATTTAGCTGTAATTTAAAAAAAAAAGATGCCTCATCATCTTTTAAACTGTGTTGATTTTGTAACTTCAGCTATCCCAGTTTTAGTTGGTGTCATTCCTTGTCCTCAGAATATTCCTTTTTATTGTAACATATTCTTGTTTCAAAGATGCAGTATTTTCTGATAAAAGGTAGTTTAATTTTTCTCCCAGTCCCCGAGTTGTATGTTTCCTACGAGTTGCTTTCTTCGGGGTGCTTGTTTTGGTCTCTGTCCATTGTGCAGAGACTTTCTGACGGTGACTCCAAGTAGCCTGTTGAGGTTCTACAGTAACATTCTGGAGCTGACTGGTACTGTGCCTGTCAATCACTTTCCACCTCCCCCAAGATGTCAACACATCAGGTCTTTTTTCAGGGGGCATCTACTTTCTCCATGGAGAGATATTCAGACCCCTCTGGAATTTACGTACACCTGGCTGAGGACCCTCCCAGAACCGGGGAGAAGGTAACCAAGGGTCTTGTGGCTCTGAAGGTAGATGTTAATTTAATCCGCCAGCATTACCTTTACTTTCTTTTTGCCCCTAGCATTCGAGTCCAGATCTTCTCTGGCTTGTTTTATCCAGAGAATGAGCCTCTAATGTCTGGCAGAGGGAAAGGAGGGTGTGGGGGTGGGGTATAATCCAACTGCTCCAGTTTCAAATTTTCCACCTCCCTCCCTCTGCTCAGCCTTGCTCCTCACCCCCACCTTTAAATAGCAATGGCGCCTCCAAGCTCCAGGCCCTCAGGTTGCATTGCTGCTCAGTCCACTGCACTCTCAGGTCGGCTGCCTCCAAGAAGCCGTTGTCTTTTCCCCTTGTGCATCTTTCACACAATTGCTAGGGATTTAGGAAAAAGTACCAAATGAAGCATTTCCAGTCCACCATACTTGATGTTCATTGACGTTCATATTTTGGGAATTTTCTTTTTCCAGTACTGGGCACTGAACCCAGGACTACACACACGTCCTCCCACTGAACCACAGCCACAGTGTGACTCTCCAGAAGAGTTTGATTCTCAGAATTGCATTTCAGTCAAGTTATAAAGTAGAAATTCTGCATTTTTTTGATTACATCCAGCCCTCTGAGAGTGAATATGAAGGTAAGGGGTTTTGTTATTAATGTAGAGTCTCCTACTGAATAGCATTTATTCTGTGAAACATGAATGACTCGTATGAATTCTCATATTAGATGAAATATATACTAAAACATTATATATATACTTTTTCAGACTTGTCCAGGAGCATTATTTCTGGTCTCAGATGTTTTTGCCTCTAAATTGCTCTAACCTTTGTAGTGTCTTTGTGGATAATCTTGGCATTGTATCTTCAGGATAATGATGCTAACACTCATGTACTAGGAACTCTTAACAGGGCTTGTAGAGAGCCTTCTCTTTATATCTCTCATGTTGTCTACCCTCTACATGTCTGTGTCCAAACTTCATTTTTTTAACAAAGACACTAGTCATATTGGATTAGTGAACTCCCTAATGAAATCAATTTAACTTGCTCATCTTTATCAAGACTCCAAATAAGGACACATTCTCAGGTACTAGAGGTTACTACTTGAACTCATGAATTTTGGGGAGACCCTAAGCTGGTCATACTAAAAAACAAAGCCAGGAAGAAGGCAGAGTTTGTGCATAGGTCCCGAGATTACACATGCTCAGAGCTAAGGAAGTTAACAGCAAGGGGCTGACAGCAAGGATCAAGTCACATCCAGCCTTCTCTTCTAGTCCATAAAAGGAGACTGGAGGTTTTATTCAGGGCAAAGATCCCATCTCACTATTTTGTGGGTGGAGATGTAAAGAGAAAAGTGATAGTGGAAAGATCTGGTGGAGGCTACTGCAGAAGGACAATTGAGAGATAAAAGGTAGGGTTGTTTGAACCAGAGTTTTAGGGGAGAGAAAAGTTGATGGGTGGCATATGTAAATCAGCAGGTCTGATGGGCCTTGGAGGACTGGAGGTAGTTAGGTTGGGAAAGGGGTGAAGGATAGCTTCTAGGTTCTGAATAGTGAAACTAGATAAACTGTTACTGGTAAAAGGGAAGCTCTGGGTTTAGACTTTGACAACAGTGTGGTCAAGGGAACCATTTCTGACCATGTTCTGAGACATGTTAAGGCATCCAAATGAAGTCATTAGCTGAATGCAGAGACCTGAAGTGCCGAGAAGAGGTACAGGCCAGAAGAAAATTAAATTGGGAGCAGTTATGACACAAATGTTAGTAAGAGCCAATGGAAAGAGTGAGAGGAAGAATATGGCAACAGAGGAAAAAGCCTGGAAATATTTAGAAAGGTGCTCTTCTGTCCCAACCCATCCATGAGTGCCACAGCTAACTGCATGCTGCCAACTTGGTGGAAGCATGATTGAGGCGGGAGAGGCTGCGTCCAGGCGACACTGTACGGTAATGAGTGTGATGCTGAGGCTTAGGAATGAGTCATCACTGGCCTCGGAAACCCTCCCAGCAAGGGACGCGGCAGTCAATTCATTGTTGCATTTTATGACAGATGTCAGAAGTTCCAGGGATAACATCCTCTTTCAAACACATGGATCTGACCTATATACTGCAGGCCAGCCTGTTCCTGAAAACGGTGAGTGACAACATGGCCTGTAAGGAAAACCAAGTGATTTCTCATAAGAATATTTGAACCACTGGAACGTGATCACTCGGTGAAATTAGGTCCCAGAGGTTTGGGTCTTTCTTTAAGCATGAAAAATCATTTTGGCCTATAAAACTCAGGGAGGGTTGTTGGCAACTTATCTGCTCTAACCATAGGATGGCTTCTGCACGCTGTGACTTCAAGTAAAATTACAACAGCACATGCCCACATGGCTCACTCTTGCTCCTGCTGGAAGAGGGGATCTCCTGTACAGGTGATACACTTGATGGTGTTGATTTTTTTTTCTAGTTTATATATGCATCTACGTACTGCAGGACATCTGCAAATTTGAAAACTTAAGATTTAAAATATCTTGAAATAACATAAGGCTGATAGCATCCCAGTCTCTCATCAGTCTGACAACACAAAACATCTGATGACACACCACATCCTTTGTTTTGGGGGATAACAAACCTTTTAATTGTTCTTGGAATTAAACTGTCCTGAGAGAAACTGGACAGGTTAATTAGCTAATAATCAACCCCAATTTAGATGATCATTTAAAGACACTTTGATGTTGGAAATCAGCATTTCCAAACTTTGTGGATATTTACACAAACAGCATGAATGTAATTAAAACAAAGCTGCCACTGTTATACTTCATAAACAGCACCTAGGAAGAGGCAGAAGTCCAGGGGAGGAGAGTCCCTGGATCTTGTTCTATACGTCATAGCATGGTATGAAAGCTATGCAAAAGCTGCTGTGCTCCTCCTATATTTGAAATGAAAATACCTACCATCAACACTACTTTAAACAAACAAAATCAGGTTAATTCAAATAAATATCCTTTATTAAAGAAAAAAAGGAATATTGTTAAGCACCAAAACTGTATGTTGTTACACTGCATGTACAATAAGAGAAAGGTGATTGCAATACTTGGTGTACAAGTACTTAACTCTGAAGTCATGAGTGTAAAAAACATGAAATATAAAGCAATACAATAATTAACAATGCAGAAAAGTTGCACTAAAGAGGAAAAGGCAATGTTCAAAACAATTATTGGAGATTTCATAGTATTGCTATAAATGCTTGCTTAGTATTTTCTTTGTACTTTTAATACTTCAGAATGTTAACTGAGCATATTGAAGTATTGTAAATTTGCAAGAGATGGCATTTACAATACATTGTGCACACTGTCCATATAATGTAATGATAAAGCCATCCTTAAAAGCCAAGCACAATGTGCTAGTGTTTTGCTTCTACCTTTATAATATTGCACAAAGCTAGTAAATGGTGAATCAATTTGCCATTATAATTTTCATTTACCAAGAATGGCTAAAAAAAAAAAAAAAAAAGGAATGTCAGTTTCATTCATCCTAATGGACTTATTCATGCAAAATGATCTGTGGCCTTCCATTTATCATAAACTACATATTATGGTTTCACACTTGGCAAGATATACAGTACAAGGAGAGATTCAGTGCGCCAGTGGGGATTCTGTAAAAGCTAAATAAGTTAGAAGTCACTATATTGATTGCACTGTCTAACCTTCTTTGTACACAAATGAAGGGGAAATGCCTTGTGATTATGAAGACTTCTTAAAACCAACATACTTAATATGGGGAAAGCTGGAATAACTTCTTATACCCTTGACAGTTAACCATAGAACATGCAAATTAAAAGAAAATTCCTGTGTTAAAACTCAACTCTATGACCAATACCCACCCATATCTTTTGCTTTCATCTAACCAAGTCTTTCCTACCTGCTGTCAACTTCCAATACTGATCTTATTTATACCTGAATTAAAAACAAAAAACCTTCCTCTAACCCTCAAAACAAATGACCGCAACTCTCTAACATGCCAACCTCAGAGGTATCCTCTGTACGTGCACATTACAATAGCAGAATAAGTGTACTTGTAGCAGGGGCAAAACATCTGAAATTTGGAATTTAAGCAATTAAATTGTACAAATGCCAAGTTGTACATTTACTGTAGGCAAAATGAATTTTTAGAATAAACACCCTTGAAATAAGTCAATGGGCAAACAGCATACATGTGCATGCGCACACACGTGCACACACAATACAGACTCCCTCCCACCTTTAAAAACCTCTGTTTACATACATGATAGTTTAGGCAACAATATAAACTCATTTTGTAGGAAAAACCTTTAAATTACAATATAGGATAAAAAAATAACATTGCTTCATTTTACAAAGCAATTAGGCAGAGACTCTTCTTAATGTGCTTTAACTAAAGAGGACTTGACTTTTCAGCAAGATCAGAAATTACTACTGACTTATTCAGTAGCACTAAATAAATGCAATACACCCAGCAGTAAGGTACTTCTACTTTCTTACCCCTCTTCAATTTAAAATGAATCTTGCTGGTCAATTCTCTTAACATTAGCATAGTTCTTTTTCTATCGTAAGCAATAAATGGGAAATAAATATCTGTTTAAAATGCACATTTAACTTTATATCACCATATATATTCAGTGCAAGAATTAGGTAAAACTAAATGTTTCAGTTTTCATTATCCAATAGTTGTATTTTTAACAAAGTGTCTGCAACAGCTTTAAAATGCTTACATGGTATTTTGTTTTGTTTATAAATAACCTGGCAAAGTATAAGAAATTTCAACTCCCTGATAAGGCCTGCAAGGACCCAATAGTATTTACAGGTTGGTATCTGGTGTTAAGTGCATAATAGTTAAATAATAAAGCTGAAAAAAAAAAATCCTTGTGTTTGTAAAAGGAGAGAAAAAAGCTTTCTTTATGCTAAAAAGCATTGAATTAAATAAATACACTCAGTGAATGTAATTTAAAAATGGAGTCAACTGGGTGTGGTGGTGCATGTCTATAATCCCAGTGACTCAGGAGGCTGAGGCAGGAGGATCAAAAGTTCAAAGCCAGCCTCAGCAACTTAGTGAGGTCTTAGGTAACTTAGCAAGACCCTGTCTCAAAATAAAAAATAAAAGGGGCTGGGAATGTGGTTCAGTGGTTGAGTGCCTCTGGGGTTCAATCCCCGGTACCACGGGAAAAAAAAGTCGTCTTAGGAAATGTATAAAATTAAGTTGTATTGTTTACTGAACTCATTCCATATAGCAAGGCTAGTGCCCATTCCTTTTGTGTTCCACTCAAATAAGAGTATGATTCTTAGTGTCCACAATGGCTATTTATGCTTTATAGTTTGACATGGTATGACACAACAAGTGACCCCCCCCAATAAAATGCTCAGCAAAGTTCCATATTCTTTCTGTGGAAATACCACACCTTATTGACTTATGACCGTCTACCATTATCCTTAAAGATGCATTTTACAGAAATGTATCGGCTCCACAATGAAGAACTAAGGAATGATGGTTTTTTATCCTGCTCACAAACTCAAAGAGCCTATAAAATATACTTCAAATAAACAGAAAAAGTGTTCACCCTTTAAAAATTCCCATTCGTCAGGCATTACCTCATACTGCTAAACCACCAACTAGGATTTCAAAGCATTCAGAATACCTTTCCTCTACATCTACATTGGTCCTATATGTATAATTTTGGTTGATTAGGGGAAATATCTGAAATTGACATTCAAGTGAGCGGTTAACATGAACCTCAAAACATCTCCAAGTCATCATCTACTTGTTTCCCCCATTTTAAATATACTGCAATTGAGACTAAATTGGTAAATTAACTTCTAAATTGACTCAGCATAAGCAAGCAGCTGTTTGTGAATTCAGAAATACAACTGTCAAATATTCTGAGCAACACAAAAAAATACAGGCAAGTTTGGAACTGGAAATGTGATCATTTGTAAGTACCATAACAAATATATGCTAGTTTAATATTAAAGCAAATATCTGCATTTTATTAGAGGCAAGGAAAAAAGAACATTTGATCACGCTTTTGTAGGGTTCTGATACTGCTTTAAAATGGGGGTTCAATTGATACTCATTTTAGACAAGTGGACCCTCGTTCTTTTAACTCCGATGGTATGTGACCTACAGTAATTTGTAATTTTGTGGAAGTAGCCATGTGAATCTCTCCCTGACGATGGGATGCAGGGCCTCCTCATACATGTAGGTAAGCACTCTACACTGAGCCACATCACCAGCTGATTACAAGGTGGCTAAAGACAGATCACAGGAGCCTTTTTAAAGTGAGATTGCTTTATAATAGAATCCCAGCGATAGTACTAATGGGTAGCAATTCTCAACATGAAGGGTCCAGTGTTTGTTGTTGTTAATTTAACATTACATCCTTCTGTATTTTTCCGAAATTGAAAAAAATGAATAAAAGTTAGGTTATGAACAAGCATCCAAAACACTTGACACATGAAATACTGATACATGGATACACACACACACACACACAAAATGGATGGATTAGATGGATTCATGGTTTTTTAAAAAGTTTTCTAAATTTAAAAATTTGCAAATATATTAATCTAACGAATGGCTCTTTGGGTTAAAAGGATACTTTAATGCTTTACTGAAGTTATAAAGGATATGCACCCACCCCCACTAAAGTTTATATATATTAGATGTGTACTACTAATCATCCCAGACAAGACACGGGACTTATGCTGGGACTAGAACCAATGTATCATGAAAATGTTGTGCAGAAATTCCTAGTCTCATCAATAAATATATTACTAATGTTTGAACAAAAAGATTTTGTTTTATATAACCTCCTGCTGCTGGGAATTTTTGTTAATGAAAATAATATTCAATAATGACAAAAGAGTTGTGAGCTTTTTTCCTTCCAGGAAAACTAATTCACATACACTGAGTAACTTTTACTCCAATACTACTTTCTGGGAGTAAGTTGGAGAACTGCCTTATGACATAAAGTGATACTTCTATCCTGGACTCTAAAGGCCGAGATCTGTCTTATGCAGAATTATACTCTATGGAGTACTATTAAACAGGGTCCAGCATATCTGCTCCCTTCATGTAAGCCCACAACAATCCTCCTGACAATCCATGACAGCTTCATTCATATAGAGTTCCTTACAGCAAATCAGAACCTAGCCCTATATATTGTAAGATAAAAATTTAATAACAAAGGCTCTCTCCCAATGTTCCATTCAAAGCATTTCAAGATAGTGAAATGCCAGCCAAAGAGGCTTTCCTGCCTGTCTACTTTCTGCATCTTTGTGGAGCACATGCTTTACACTGTGGAGCATAACAAAAACTTAATGGTGCATTATAAAGAGTTATGATCTGCATCCCTATTATTGAATCCTCCTTTTTGATTCTCAATAGGAAAGTCATGAGTTATGGTGATCAAGCAACAGTTCAAACAAAAAGACTAAAAATAATTTGAAACATTATCAAATTACAAAGTATTGCTTCTCATAAACAAGGATGCACATAAAATTCAAACCATTATAAATTCAGAATTATGAAAAGCTATTTAAAGGCATGGAAATTTTAACTTCAAACCCTTACAAAGTGTAGACTGTGTAGCCTTCTAAAAATATGCCTTGTTAAATGTTATCATGTTTGGTACACACATTAATAGGTGTATCTCCATTGATCTTTCAGATGTTGAACATCATTTATGAAAATTCCTTTGGAGATGAGAACTGTTAAAATTTTTAAGTATATTTCCATCTGATTATAATTCCTGACCTATTGCTACCATGATAAACTTCTTTTTCAGAATATAGTACTATTTCTGTAAGCTGATTCGGAAGAAACTCTGTGTTTCAGCAGATGTCCTTCCTTTCAGTACACTGAAAGATGGATCTCAAAGCAGTCCCAAAACAGCTCACAGTAGATCTCTGTCAGCCCAGTGTTCTTCCAACTAATAGCAACTCCCAGTTTAACTGGCCACTACAAATATATATATAGATGGGGGAAGGGAAGGTGCATAAAAAAAACAGCCATCTCCAGGAGGCCTTTCTTCATCACAGATAGGAACATTGCACATTTAAAAATCATCTTAACCATTATCTATTGGAATGACTGTAAAAGTAATAATTTGCCAATTGTGCTTCCTTTTTTTTTCCCCCATACAACTGAGTCAATATACTTTGGGTCTAATGGAATCCAACTGTGGAACCAAGAGCTTCAACTTTTGTTTTCCAAAAGAATCAGAACCAATCTTCATCTGTATGTATTTTTCTTCTTTAAGTTACCTGTTGGTAAACAAAATACAGTGAATTAAAAAAAAAAAAGATATTCTCTCCTCCCTCTCAATAAACATATATACACGCATACACACAAACCTTTTAAAAGCATATAATAAAGCAAGGCTCAGTGCTGCACACCATTTACACTTACACTATCTGGGATGAAGAGATAGGTAAAAGATGGTGAATTCAAAAAAAGAAGCATATAACAAAAGAAAAGGATTAGGGATGTAGCTCAATGTAGAATGCCTCTGGGTTCAATCCCTAATACTGACGCATAGACACACACACCTAAAAGTGACTTCACATGTATCTGAGCTCATACGTTATCTGAGAGTGTTTCTTTTAACATTGTACAACATACAGAAATCTCCACCCCCCAAAAAAGACAATGAAAAACCCAGCCTCCAACCACTCCAGTGAAGTTTTAAGCAGGATTTTTTGTTTGTTTGTTTTGTTTTCTTTGAAGTGGCACATGTTCTTCAGCCTAAATGAATAGCCAGAAACTATAAATAACACCTCAGCCAGTTGCTATACATAATGCTCTTACAATGTCTATATATCAGAGAGGATTCTGGTGGGGTGGGAGAAGACAAATGAGTATGCCAGCCTGAGCCACTGTACCAGCTCTGCCTACTGTAGTCAGTTGTAAGAAATAAAAACCAAAATATACACATCTGTGAAAGCCATGTTGTGGCATTAACCAATAATGCATCCAGGTGGTAGTTTTAGTGCAGGTTTAAGCAGCAAACTGAGAAGCTACAAGCAGGAGACAATTTAATAAAGTAGCAAGAACTGTGAAGTGGGGGATAATCTGCAAATAACTAGAAAAGATTCCAGATGCACCTGAGTTGCTGGACATTAACATAATGAGCAAGATGTCTAGATTTCTAGATATCTGCACTCATATACAAGACATAATGTACACATGCACAAGCAAAAATGGTTTCAAATTATCTTGGAATCCAAAAGTGATACGTCATACAGTTCTACAAAGTGATCATAATTAGGGTCTCTATACACACACACACACACACACACAAAACCTGCAAATTAGTCTAGACAATCCAGTAAATTCGATAAGCCTGAGTAGTTTTAAAGGTTTAGAAATCTAATCAGACAATGCAATGATTTTTTTTTTCTAGATTGATACTAGAAAACTTTACAGGCTGCAAGAAGACATCAAAACTCAGAATACATAATGGAAGTACTTCAGTTGAAAAAGTCCTCCTTTTTTTAAGGCAGAAGTAATACTTGGGATATAGCTGTTCTACAGAAAATTTTAGTGAGCAAGATATAAAAAACACAGCATATACATAGCAATAATCCTTAAAAAGTGCTTTTTGTTACTTTGGTTTCTAGAAATTTACAAACTTATGATCCATACTATAAGCTTAAGACTCAATAAGGAATACCAGACCCCATTCTGTAATACTGAATGCTATTAAAGACAATAGGCCATTTACTTGTCAGTTCTCCCAGTCTGTGCAAGGCAAAACCTCCTCTTCATCCTCTGACTCAGGGGATGCCTCTTTAATTCTTCGTAGAGCTTCATGGATGCTCCGTGTTAGAGGGTCTGTATCAGGCAGAAGTGTGAAGGATTCTCTCAAAACTTCCTTCTGTACCTTCTTCAATTTTACCCCTTTCCTTATTTGTGCCAAGATATTATTACTATCATCTTCATCAGGAAAAGGAGGCAGAGTTCGCTGTTCAACCTTTTTCAGATGAAAACTACCACGCTTCAAGGATGCTAGCACTTCATCCATAGGTGAGCTCACTTTGGAAAATGAAACAGAACAATTACATTAATAAATATTTCACAGAAAGGCTCCAGAGTAAAATGTAATATGCAAATGGCTTTACATAATGTTTAAAGGAAAGTTCCTTGTTATTTTTTAGAAGTAATTTTATTAAGACATATTGGACATGCAATAAATTGTACATACCTTTCTCTACTTCTTAGCTTTCTTAAACAAAGAATATACCTCAATACCAAAATGTGAGAAAATGTTACAAGATTTTTCCAATGTCTCCCAGCCCTTTCTTATGTGAGTACTGTTTTGTACTGTTTGTTTTTGTGGTGCTGGGGACCGAACACAGGGCCTTGTACATGCTAGGTAAATGCTCTATCACTGAGCTATATATCCCTAGACCATGAGTACTTTATCTCATCTCCCAGGTTTAAAATCAGATTTTTCTCTAGCATAGAAAGAGCCACCAACCAAACAGGTCAAGTCACTTCAGAAGGCATACTTTTAAAACATACCCAATAAATAGCCTAAGAAGGTACACGTTTATGTGTATCAGTACATATCTGTTGCTGTGGGTGAGAATTCTCCTCTACTGTGACCTTGAAGACCTGTTTACTATGAAATAATGTTGTTCAAAGATAAATATTTTAAGGCTGGGGCTGTAGTTCAGTGGCAGAGCACTTGCCTAGCATGTGTGAGGCACTGGGTTGGATCCTCAGCACCGCATACAAATAAAATAAAACCATACACAACTACAAAAAAAAAATTTTTTTAAAGAAATGTTTTAAATTGTTTAAAGTAGAATAAAATATAAAGTTCTGTCATTATTCCTCACTTTATGCAACAGTTGATCATGAAAATGTCTTTCAAGTTACCTCTCCTCCTCTGAAAACCTTCAGCAGTCTTCCTGAGCTTCTTTCGGGCACTAACCAGCTGGCTGCTATCGAAAAGGTGTGCTGAGGGGGCGCTGGCAGACTTCGGGATCCTCTTCTCATTCCCCTCCTTTCTAGGCAGATCTTTCTCCAGTGTCTCTGGGTTGGCAGTGTTGTCCTTTGCAACAGGCAGAGGGGGAGGAGGGGGAGGGGGTGGTGGGGGTGGTGGGGGCGGAGGGGGTGTAGGAGGGAGAGGTGGTGGGAGTGGATCTGTGCTAACAGAACATGGTTCGAGGTCACTGCTATTCAAAAGTGGAAGAGATGCAGTGGGAGGCAGTTCGGAGGTAATACCACTGAGAGGTAATGAAGTGGCTTCAAGTTGTGCTAATGAATTATCTTCAAGTTGTGCAAGGCGCTGGGATTCTGTTGTCTGTGATGACCCAAGCTGGCCTCTTCCTTCTCCCACCTCTTCAGTTTTTCCCTCTACCTGCAACACCCCTGGTAGAGAGTCACATGGATCCTCATGGGGCACAGGACTTGCTGCACTTTTTCTTCTCGCATGAGCCAGTCGTAATCTGGTTGATTTAAGTATGACTTGCCCAGGGTACCTCTAAAATAACAAAATTATTATAGCTGGTTGTATTACATTAAAACAATTTATGTATGTCCTTATACTGAAGATATTTTTGGCTCTTTTGTGACTTTTCAGGAAAAAAAAAAAAATCCAGAATACTAGAATGACAATGCCTAATACCTCCTCAAACTATTATCATCAGCTTGTCTTACCTATTTAAGAAGCCAACTGTTCAAAATTATTGCATTTTAAAAAAATATTTAATGAATTATTTAATGGATAAGCTGAATATTTAAAATACAAAACATAAATAATGTCAAACATATGCTACTGTTATGCAGAAAGCTAAAAAACTATTAGTTTCCTGTATGTTTTTCAATGCTTGTGGATTAGAAAATTTGAAACTTCTTTTATTGATTGTTTATGTAGCGTAATAAAACCTCTGAGAATAATATATTCATTTTGACCTGTGAAGGAGAGGAATAAAATCTTTTGCATTATTGATTAATACAGAGAAGTCTCATTATAAATCATTTATTGCATGAAAACCTAGTATTAATAACACTTGTTAAGAAGATATTTACTTAATGCAAGTCTTATCCTCTTATAAAGGATGCCCTCACAGCACCCCATTTTTTTCACTGTACAACTAAGAGTTCACTTCACCTATAAGGTAGTTCCTTCAGTAGAGAGGAATTGAAGTAAGGCTTCAGAGCACTTCAAGGTTTAGACACTCTTTATATCTGTTCAGAGTCATGGCTTAGCCTGGCAAGGAACCTGCTCAAGAAATTCTCCTATATATAGGTCCACTCTTCCATTCTCCAATGGTCATCGCCATACATTACTTCATAGGTTGATATATGTGGAATCAGTAACAAGTTGATATTTGAGCAGGTTAGTCAGTTGTAAATTGGCTATTTTTATAAAATGCAAAGGGAATCCAGGTTTCCCAGACACCCCGATCTTATACCACTCTGTGTGTACCAAAGGTCACAAGAATATTTACTTTGGAAACAACCAGAAGAAAGAGGGCCATGATATCAAAACAGTTGGTGGGAAGGGGTGGGGGAAGAGAACTGCCATAGTTATATTTTAAAGAGATATGTGTATAGCTCTGTTTGAAAAACAATGAAAAACAATAAATGGGCTATACTTTCCATTACCTGTTTAAATGTTCGAAGTCTATCCAGCGTTCTCTGTCTCTCCTGACTAACCCAGGCACTTTTTCTTTCCTCTTCATCATGTACTTTTTCTCTCTTCTGGTAAAAAAATAATTCCATAAGTCCATTATGTTGTGTCCCATTCGTTTTTGCCATTAATAGAGAAAACACACATGCACACAATGTTCTCCCAATATGTAAAATACATGACTTAAGAGAACAAAATGTTCTATGATGTGCAGCCCTGTTTTTAAATAAAAGTCACTGTTTCAAAATTCATACTGATGATAAAGTAAAATTAAATCCCTATTTTTATCTTGTGAGTTTTGGACTTAAATAATTATTTCCACTATATTCTGTTAATTCAAATATAATTGACTTATTTTTAGAGACAAAGATTTACTTAGGAAAGCAGATATGTATATATTCAAGGGAGAATGCAGGCTATCTCCAGAGTGGACACCTCTGGGGCATTACAGCAATGGATACAAATTCAAGGGAGGATGTGAGCCTTTTCCAGAGGAAGCAACAGCCTATTACAGCCTATTTTTACCTCCTGCATTCTCAGATAGGCAGTTAATACTGTCAAATGGTTATCCTACCAAAAGCACTATACAGATGGAATGCAATTCCCACAAAATTCCAATGTAGTTCTTTAGAGAAATAGAAAAAGCAGTCATGAAATTTATCTGGAAAAATAAGAGGCCCAGAATAGCCAAAGCAATCCTCACAGCGAGAAAAACTAAGCAAAAGGCATCACAATCCCAGATCTTAAATTATTAAAGAGCTATATGAACAAAAATATCTTTGTTGTGGTGCATGGTATTAGGACCATAACAGACAAGAAGACCAATGGAACAAAATAGAAGACACAGAGAAAAACCGACAAAAATAGTTACTTCATACTAAACAAAGGTACCAAAGCCTATCACTTTAGAGATAAACCCAGCAACAAGTTAGTTGGCCATTTAGATATTATATGGTATTTTGATGAATATAACCAGCAGTTATAAAAAAAATGCTTCCTGTTATGCATCAATTACTTGCCTTAATATCATACCTTATAGATGGCACTTACCTACATAGAAATTTTAAATTTTTCTCATATTGTTCAATCATATAAAACCTGTACAATAAAATCTCATTTGCTAGAATATATTTTAGTCAAGCAAATGATAGGTTATGACTTTGTTTTCCTGTTCAGATAATCAATTTCACATAGAAAAATCAACTTTTCATTCTTCTAAAAATGTTCTTTTCGAATACAAACCTTCACTATGCTTTTTATTTTGTCACCTCACTCCTTTATTCCCACCAGTTAATAATATTTTATTATCTTCCCCCAAACAGAGTTGGGGATGTAGGTCAGTGGCACAGCACCCGGGAATTCAATCACCAGTACCCGGGGTGGGGGTGGGGGTGGAGGTGACACCAAGAATAAAATAAAGACATCTCCTACTTCCTTTTAATTCCTTAAATGTGAGAGGGAAGAATAAATGTAACTCTGAAAGAAGGAAACTAAAAGAGATGTGATAGGCTAATTATTTTGAATAAAATGTTATAAAAACATGATTCTTACATAACTAAATAAAATTTGATATTATTTAAATATAAGAATACAATAAAACCTAAAATAAAATCTGAAATAAATTAGCATGTACCCAAATTAAGAGGTGTAAGATAAACAAACAACAAAAAAAATTAAAACACAACAAAAACCCACATCAATAAAAATGGAAAATGTTTTCAGGGCAATGACTATTATTCTTGAGGCCATTTCGGTGACTACTATTAGTATAATTATAAATTGAATGCCCATAAAGTATGGGCCGAGAACTTTCTAGTTAAGGGATAGTAAAGGCAGTCTCAGGGATCTTTCTTACTTCCTTGAAACCTAAGGGTGGGGGGTAATTTCAGATGAAAATGCTAGCTAGCTTCAAATAAAAAAGGTGATATTTTATTAACCGCAAGCTACATATTATGATATATACCTGCTACATAAAAAAATTATAACAATAAGGATCAATATTTTTAAAATTGTATTACTTTTCTTTTAGTTGTTAATGAGTTTTTATTTATTCATTTATATGTGGTTCTCAAACATGCTAGGCAAGCAAGCACTCTAACACTGAGCTACAACCCCAGCTCAAATATCAATATTGACAGTCATCTTCAGACCTCTGATTTAAGACAGAATTCTCTAAAAAATAAATCAGTACAGAAAAGCCATCAACCTTCATCAATGATAAAACTGGGGGGAATATAGACGGGTCATAAGATGAAGATGTTCCTCCGAATATCTGAATCCTTATCACAGAATAAATACTATCATCGATGTAACTGGAGGATAAAAAAAAAGATAGAATATTATCTTCATGTTCAATAAGCCCTCTCTGCTGAAGGGAAACAGCAGGTTGTGAGATAGGGCAAAGGAAGAAACAATTCCAAATATCAACTGAGATACCCTGTGATGTAAGGGCTTTCCATAAGTCCCACAGGAGAACCTCAAGGGCCTCACAGAAAACCTGATGCACAATCATCATCTAGTAAAGTACTAGACTTCAGAATAAAGAAAAATTCCTATGGGTATCAGAAAAATCACGTTCCTATGAGGTGGAGAGGGCCTCAAACCTCTTCATTACAACATTCAATGCTACAATATAGTGTGGCAGTATTTCCAAAATTTGTTGGAGGAGGAAATGCCCACATGATCCACCAAGAGTGTCCTTTATATATAAAGGATATAAACAGGCATTCCCAATACATGCAAGAACTCAGAAGGTGAAACTTTCCCAAAATAGCACCTTAAATGGAATCTAACCAACTCCAAGGTGAACAAAAATAAACTCAGAAACAAAAAGCTGATAAGAACCCAATAAGCACTAAACTTAGATATAAAATTGAATTTAAAACAACTGAGAATCATGAGTAAATAACAAAGAATTTTAAAGTTATCTAATATTTTCACATTGAGAAGGGCATGTTGGATGGTGGAAGAAAGGAGTTGGGAGAAAGTATGAGTCAAATGATTTCTTTATCTTTCACAGCATGAGTCTGATGCTGAAAAAACAATTTTGAAAACTTTTAAGTTTTTTTAGCATCAGACTCATGCTGTGAAAGATAAAGAATATCCTAACAATCTTTCTCTGAATGTTTTCAAGAAATCTGTGTAAATCCTAATAATTTGTTCAAAAGTTCTCTTGTTAAAAGAAGTATCAATTCTGAACTTGATTTTTTTCTTTATAATTGAAAACTTATAATGATCGTAGTATCTCTTCTATATACAATGAGTTTTTAAAGTACAGGAATGATTGAGAAACTGCTTTGCAAGCTACTAATTATAACTGCTTATAATTAAAGGATTTCATATCAATGTATTGTTTTTAGGAAACTGAGAACAATGATTGGTCATGGCACCTATTGGAGCGAGAAAGTTGACAAAGGCGACACAAAAAGAAGCCACATGAGCAAAAATCAAGCTATCAGTTTCCATGACCTACAGCTTAAAAGTATTTCATTTGTGCTTTCAATAAGTAATAGCCACAAGTTATGAGAGTGATTATGTAAAACAAGAATGTAATTTTTTTTAAAGGAGAAAATTGACTGTTTCTTGACCACAATTTTTTTCTTGCACCTAATTTGAGTTAACAGTAACGGCAACAACAACAAATACAGTTGGGAATGTAGCTCAGTGGTAGAGTACTTGCCTAGCAAGTGTGACCCCTCTCTCTTTTTTAGAGAGTTTACATTGAATGCGCTCTCTCTCTCTCTCTCTCTCTCTCTCTCTCTCTCTCTCTCTCCTAATTTTGAAGCCCAAGAATGGTGGCATACACCTGTAGTCCTAGAATTTGAGAGGCTGAGACAGCGGGATCTTAAGTTTGAGGCAACCTGGGAAACTTAGTGAGACCCTGTCTCAAAATAAAAAGAGTTGGGGATACAGCTTAGTTGTAGCAGCACTAGCCCTGGGTTAGTTTCAACCCCCAGTCCAGGGAGGGAAGGGGTGGGGCACAGAAAAAGAATCTAGCTTTGAAAAACAAGGATCTATTTTGATATAAGCCTGCTTTATTTTCCTTTAGTTATGCATGTAAGATGACAAGGTTGGTGAATAGATCCATCCAGTATCTGACAATTAGGTATTTCACCTGAGGCTAGTATTAGGTCAAATTATAAGATGACATTTATCTCTGAGATTCTATTATGTATCAATTTCCCTCACAACCCTTTGTCCCACAAAACTCCTAAATAGTTAATTAGCCACTTCATCCAAAGGATCAGCTGCTTATCAGAAACCAAAACCTTCATATAAAAACAAAGAGGCTATATGCATGGAATCTCAATAACCATGCTGATAACCCTTATTCACCTTTTTTGACCCTTGACCTTTAAGATTGAGACTAGGAGGCATCGTTAGCAAAACTGTGAAAATGAGCTTAAAGGATTAACGGATAAATTTTAAGCCCTTTATGTCCATTAACATGATGCTAAGTTTTTTTAAAAAAAAAAAAACATGCTCTTTCTAGGAATAGAAACTTTCTTGGCTTGATCAAGAACATTTTCCAAAAAATCTACAGATAACATCATACTTAATGGTAAGAAACTAGAGCTTTCTATTAAGATAAGGAAGATGCAAGTATGTTCCCTCTCATTCCTCCTTTATAATATAATAATGGAACCATGAGCTAATGTAATAAGACAAGAAAATGAAATAAAAAGGAGATTGGGAAGGAAAAAAAAACTACTTTGTTTACAGTTAATATTATCCAAAAGAAAACTGATATGAGAAAAATAACACTGGATTTAATTCCCACCACAACACACACATACAAACACACACACACACATTATAGTAACTAATAGGTACAAGTCACTTACTTTCTAATATACCACTGATGAACCAATTGGAGTTTCAAATCAGAACATAATACCATTACCACCCCTCCACACAAAGAAGTAGGTATAAACCTAACTTTATAGTGCCATATATATATGTGATTCACACACACACACATACACACAAGCGCTTTTATATAAGATCTAAATGAAGAAAACCTAAAAACAGATGAATAAAATTAAAGAATTAAATGGGGATATATTTCTTGTTTGTGGGCAGGAAAACTCAACACTTTTAATCAATAGGTTCAATGCAGTTCCACTCTAATCTCAGCAAGTTATTTTGTATCTGTCAAAAAGCTGATTCTGAACATTAAATGGAAAGACAAAAGACAGAACAGTACAGAGGGCCTAAAATAGAATCACACAGAATCATCTGATCTTTGACTAAGGGGTAAAGGCAATTCAATGAAACAAAGAAAAGAATTTATTTTTTTGTGGGGCTGTAGATTGAACCCAGGGCCTTATTCAAATTAGGCAAGTGCTCTACCATTTTTTATCTCCAGTCCAAAGATAATCATTTAGTTGGGGATATAGCTCAGTTGGTAGAGTGCTTGCTTTGCATGCACAAGGCCCTGGGTTCAATCCCCAGTGCCCAGGAAAAGAAGGGGGAGAAGCCAATGAAAATCATTTAAATAAATGGTACTAGAGTAACTGGACATACACATGCAAAATAATGAATCCAGACACAACCTTATGTTGTTCACAAAAATTAACTCAAAGTGAATCACAGACCTCGAACTACAATGCAAAACCAAAAAAACGAGATTACATAAGAGAAAATGACCTCAAGTTTGGTGAAGACTTTTTAGATGACTTACCTGATACGAAAGACATTACTAGTAAACTGGACTCTGCTAAATTTTTGAAAAGTTTTTAATCCCTGCTCTGGGTAGGATACTGTCTAAAGAATGAGAATTCAAGCCACAAATTGGGAGAAAATATTTGTAGGAGACACATGGGATAAAGGACTGTTATCCAAACATACAAAGAACTCTTAAAACTCAACAATAAAGAAGCACAAAGCCAATTAAAAACTGAGCAAAACATTCTGATGCTAAAGAAGATATCCAGTTTGGAAAAAAAGAAAAGGGAAGATCTGCAGATGACAAATGTGCATATGAAAAGATGCTTGACATCATGTCATTAGAGAACTGTAAACTAAAACAATGATACACCAATACACACCTATTAGAATTCAAAACCCTGACAACAGAAGAAGCTTGAAAAGGAATGAAACCACCTGAGCTCTCATTTATTGACCAGGGGAATGCAAACTGCTACAATCACTTTAGAGGATGGTTTGGTAGTTTCTTACATGACTATATATACTCTTACCATACTATCCAGAAATCAAACTCCTTGTTATTTACTCAAAGAAGTTAGAGGTGTGGGGAGAAGGCACAGGTGGGAAGTGGAGCAGAGAGCAACCCCCCACACACCATACACAACTGCTAATTTAGCAAAGCATGTTTATTAACCCAGCTACTCTGGAGGCTTGAGGACCACAAGTTCCAAGCCAACCAAGGCAACTTATCAAGACCCTGTCTCCAAATAAATTAGAAAGGGTTATCTATGTAACTCAGTGGCCGAAAGCTTACCCAGACATGTGTGAAGGCCTAGGTTCAATGCCCAGTATAGCAAAAACAGAAAAAAAAAAAAACCCACTCTCAATTTGCATGCATATTTATATTCATAAATATATGAACTAATATCTAGTTATGAGATTATCTATAGCCTTTATCCACCTTGAGACATATAAAAATAAACCTTTGTTCCAAGTCTCCAAGAATCCAAACTTACTAGTTGTACCATGTGATGGGTTCTATATTCCTCTTCACTTTGAATGCGCTGTTGGAATTTTTCATTGTGTTTTGCAATACAAATTTCCTATAAATACATAAAATGTCTTTTAATAATTTAGAAAAGCCACACCAAGGTTTATTTGATAAATTTTAATTTCAATACATACCTACATAGCAAAGTACCAACTAAACCACCCATTATTTCTCACCTGAACTGTTGAAATATGAGCCAAATAATAAGGATCTTACAAAAGACTCTTCTATTAAACTGTACAAAAGACTCTTCTATTAAACTGTTAACTTTTCTAGACACTGTGTTGTCATTTTAAGAGAAGGGATGGGGCAAGGTGGAAGAGGATGTCCTTAGATCTCAAAGGTTTCTTTCAGTTATGAAGTCTATACAGCCAGAAAATTCCTTCCAAGTCTCACTTTAAACAGGTATGGACAAAAAAGAATATACAACTGTTGGCATAAGTCTGTATTCTTGAGCTTTCTCTGATGAATTAAAGACCATGATTTTGTCCAGACTAGTTTAAACAATATCACGAGATCTGAATCTTCTAGTCATACTTGCAAGAGTTGAAAAAGACCTTAAAAACTAGAAATGCCCTATAATCCAAATGACAACTTTTTGGCAGCATCAAGTCTAATCCTCATTAACTGTATGTCCTTAATGTAACTATCCTTAAAAGAAGTTTTCTAGGTAAAAAGGCTAACTATTGATATTAGTTTCCAGTATTCTCAAAGCTATACCAAAATGATCACTCTTTCATTTTAAAACAGTCATGAGGCACTGGGTTTGATCCTCAGCACCACATAAAAATAAATAAAATAAAGATATTCTGTCCATGTATAATTATTTTTAAAAAAGAATTTTAAAGTATTTTGCCCATCTACAACTAAAAAAGAAAGTCATAATGACTTTGAAAGTCATTAATATTTTAAAGCACATGTTTACAACACTGTAATCTTAGCCTGCTCTGGTTCACTCTAACAAAAATCTGTTCAGTGCAGTTGAGAAAATAAAGGTAGCATTATATAATCTCATTACAGAATGATATAGTGACTCAGACTTTGAAGTTACACAAACATAGGACAAAATCGTACACCTCTGCCCCATTCTAGCTGCTTATCCTTCTGTGATTTATTTAATAATTACTAGAACTTTCACACCCTTGATTATTATACAAGGATATAAGTTTACAATCCCTTATTCAGAACTGAAGTCAGATGTGTTCTGAGATTCACATTTCTTTTTCATATTTTAGAAGGTTGTTACTTCACACATCATCCAATAACTTGGGCAAGATCTGAGGGAATATCCTGTAATAAGTTATATTAATATTTTTGCAGTGACATATATGAATAGTCAAAGTGGTAAAATTAAGACAATAAAATAACTTCATGTCAGTTCAGGTGTGGTTCTGCCACCAAATGAAGTATTAAAATACGCCCGATTTTCTAGGCTTTCTAGAATTCGGACAAGGGATTACTTCATCTGGCTCGTTTGGGTGAATTAAAGACGAAATACACAGAGAATAGTATTACTTCTATTACCTGAAATATTTAAACATAAAACATCTTGAAGACTTCAGGGAACAGGACAGGATTTGCTTAGAAGCACAACTACCGTCAGTATGTAATCCTATTATGAGTGTCAGGTACACTAAGTAGCCAGGAGCCAATGCTTCTCACCACATGATATTGTTAAGAGAATAATGGATGGTGTTCCACAGGGAGAAATCTATTTTTAAAATCTTTTTTTTTTGTCATATATTTGATACAATGGTTTTCTTCTTAGGATTTAATATTTCCAGTTTCCTTTCTTTTTAGCATTCTTGTCACTCCTCCCTCCCGCTGCAGACCTGGCAACCGCAGTTGGTGGAATTGGGGGGCAGGGTGCAAATGTAAAAGGAAAGTTTCTCCAATAGTGGATTCCCCTATCTTAAATTTAGATTAACATAAGAACAGAGTGAAGAATATTGATTGACATGAATTAATAGGCTTCAAATAAGGAAATAGCTGAAGGGAAAGTTCAGTCTGATTCAGATTCTGATTTACTTTTCGCATGTGATGCAACTCTCCCCCCAAACACTAAACACAGGACCCCAACAGCCTCAAATACTAAATATCATAGAGCTCCCAATTCTTATTCCCTTTGGCCTGATACTGCTGACCACCCTGCTTTGAGGAATCGTTTTCTCTTTTGCAGCCTCACCATCTCCTGCTTCTTCTCCCTCAGACTTCTCTTTCTCTTTGACCCTTTCTTGTGTACAAAGTCTCAAACTTTCTGCAGGACTCTTTCCAAAGAGCCTCTCTTCTCACAATACACCGGGGCCTTCTTTGTTTAATTTTCATAACCTATGCCCTTTACAATGTCTTCTCACCCCTAGGCAAAAATGTTTTGCTGACTTTTGCTTTTGGAATTATAAAAATACTAAGCACATGCAAGATTTTTTTTTAACTACCAATCTGTTCTATCACCTTCCCTTTGCACCTCCCCAACAGCTCTCCATCTCAATCACTGATAAAATCACCTACTCAATACATCCTTATGGAACCCAGAGGCCCAATAGTTTCATGGCCATCTCCACCTGAAACTTGGGTCATGACCTGTAAGGCATTTGTGTTTTTCCCTTAGCAGTCCATTGTGATAGATGGAACCTCTATCCACCCAAATGCCCAATTTAGAAGCCTGAGAGATAATAGAGAATAGCTCCTCTATTCTTCATTATAAACCATTAAATCTTATTGACTTTCTACTGGAAAGGGTCAGAATTGGACACTTCTCAGATTTTCTATTCCTTACTATCTGTACTACCACAACTACCTCAGCTCATACTCTTAACATTCCAACCCCACAAAGTTGAGGATAATGATAATCTCCAACCAGAACCTTTTAGTGCTCACTGTAACTTATTTTAATTTTGCCTTATCTTTATGAAACATAAATCTGTATATATTATCCTTTACTTAAAACTTTGCAATCATTTGCATTACCTTCAGAATCTGCTCAGGCCTATTAATGTGGTTCAGAAAACTTCCCATAATCTTGTCCCTGTAGCACACTTACCACATATAGTCCCCTGACTAGCCATGCTCTTATGCTTCAGTGTCATTTTGTTGGGCTTGGAATTATACCCCCACACCAACCATTTGGCAAATTTCTATTCAGATGTTAAAACCTAATGCAAAGGGCTGGGGATATAGCTCAGCTGGTAGAGTGCTTGCCTCGCACACACAACCCTGGGTTCAATCCCCAACACCACAAAACAAAAACCTAATGCAAGTACCACTTCTTACAAGAAGCCTTTCTTTGCTGCCTTTATTTGCTCTCTTGTTATCTGGCATGCTTATCTGGTCATCTGGTTGGCCTTCTCTATAAGACTAGGAAGAGCAGAGACTATGCCTTGCTCATCATTGTGCATAGCACAATGTTGAATTAAAATGAACCAGACTATTAACTAAGTCTGAATTATACAACATTTAAAAAAATGCTTTCAAAAAATGTTCAAGTTCATAAAATCCCACCAAGTCTTTAAGTTACTTTACCAGACAGCTGAAACTAATATTATAAAACAGTGTTTGTGATATTCATAAAAAGGTTTTCTTCTACATCCTATTTACATTTCATTCTCCAAAGACATTGATAGAATGTGCTAGTATCACTGCAATGTTGACCTAACTGGCATGGAATAGAACTTAAAGCCTATAACCATCAGGCTCACGGCTGAGACAATAAGTGGGTTTCAATGACGACTATTGTCATGGAAAAAGAAAAATGCACAGATTTCTGTCAGTTAGGAGAAAACCATAGCCCTGAGTGCTGAGGTAACTGTTCTGAGAGTAGACAAAATGATAGAAGGTTGCTGACATACTGTGGAAAGATGTATGCCTGGGTTTCTTTAATGTATACAAGCCATCTGTTACAAAAAGCAGAAGTCTTTGCATATCTGTGAAATGAGGAAGTGGAAGCTCTGAAATCTGGTTAAGAGCAGAAGGTAGACTCTCAAAGAACATGCCATTCTTTTGCCTGTGTATCTGAGCTCAAAGCAGTCAGTACCACAGGGTTATCACACTGGTCCAGGCCTTAAAACTTGATCCAGATTCAAAACCCACATTCAGTGCCTAGAAACCACCCTATGATAGTAACCTCTGGACTAGAAAGCAAAACATTTTCGAAGTCATAAAAAGAAAATACATTTTCACAAATGGAATTACTTCAAATATCAAGAATGATCAAAGATTTTGAAATGTAATTCAAGTTAAAAATAATAACAATCTAAAAATTTCTTTAAACTGAAGTCAGAATCAGGACTTGTAGTCCATTACCAGCCACCTTAAATAAGAGGAGCTAGGAACTACACTACACAGGACCCTGGAGCACACCACTTAGCATAGTTACCTCCAGCAGGTGAAGAGTCATCATCATTGGCTGTTTGGACATATTTTAAGAGGGTAATTTTCAGAGAAATGTGCCTAAAATAATGAACTGAGTTATGAGAAGAGATAATGCTTAGCTTTTAAATACAAAAAAAAAAAAATAGTGATAAATCATGTTAGAATTACGAGATATGAATCAAGGACTAAGTAATGAATAAAAAAGCAAGATTTCAATACCTTTTTATTTCTGAGGTAGGCTTTCTTGGCTGAGACACGTCCCCGTCTTGCTTCCAGCTGGCGTGCTTTCTGCTGTAGTTTCTGCAGCTCTTCCCTCTGTGCGTGCACAGAGGCTGCCATTTCTTCTTTCTCTAGCATGGCCTCCATGCTTTCATAAGTGTCATAGTAAACTACTTCATCTCTCTTTTCTGTGACAGAACAACAACAAGGGGTCACAGTAAAGCACATGGGTCATGAGGCCTGACAGAACAGAATTTGGTGCCACCTACTAGCTCTGTGACTTCAAAGCTAATACTTCTTGTGCTTCTCTGTAAAACGGTGATTAAATGGAAATGCACCTCATAGAATGAATGTATGCAAAATGTGCAGTGTCTGGCACACAATGAGTCCTCCATAAATCTACACTTCCCTCCCAGCTCAACTCCTGCAAAACTGTGAATTTTTGAAAATACAGGTTTTGACTGAAGTATCCCTTACAAAATCAGTATTTCACAAAGATAACCAAAGCCAACATAGAGTTGCACTGTTCAGTCTACCAAACAACTTGTTTGACTTCAGAGACTCCTTTAAAACATTTCTTTTATACCTGGATGTTTTAAAAAGTCTTAGCAAAGAAACATAGCTGGCATCCACATACATTTTCTTCACATATTGAGTCTTCTGTGGACTTACTGTGTGTGCATCATACCTGATATAAGTCTTTTGATACTTTCCAGTTGTGCTGTCAACAATAACTCTTCACACTTTAAGATTTCAAACTGTACTTCATACAACTGAAGCTGCAGATCATAATAATCAGCTTCTAACTGATCCAATCGAGCTATGGCTTCTGTACCACCCTGCAAACTTTGCATCTGTAATGAAAACACTTTAGTTAGAGGAAACAATAAAACAAATAAAGGCATAACTAGAAATCAGTACTAATAGGATAAATTCACAACACATTCACTCTAAGAAAGAAACTTATATGTAAGAAATTCAGAGTTTTGTGACAGGTGTGGTGTGATGTAAGCCTTTAGTCCCAGCTCCTTGGGAAGCTGAGGCAGGGGGATAGCTTGAACCAGGAGTTCTATACCAGCGTGGGCAACATAGGGAGACTCCCACCTCAAAGAGGGTAGGTGGCTGTGGTGTAACTCAATGGTAGAATGTATGCCTAGCATATGTGAGGCCCTATATTTATAGCCAGTGCTATAAATGAAGGAGGGGTCCCCCTGACTGATCAATCCAGAGTTTAAAAAATATGAATATATGAAACTACTGATAATCAAGTTACAGCATATGGTTTTAGAAGAAGGCAAACATGGTAAAAATAAGTTTTAAAGTTTCTATCACAGCTCATTACCTTATTTAGGGTGATATACTGTTTTGAAATAAATGTTAATAGTATCCCTTCTTAATCTTGAAAGTAGATGCTAATTTACGCAGTTAGCCTTTTCATATAAAATATATGAAAAAGGCTAGACCATGCGTAGATATTTACAGCAGAGTGGTAAAAGTTGACTGATCCACGTATCTGGGACTTTGCTTTGTCCCATGGTCACAGCCTGGCTTCTGAGACCTATAGGCTGGAGAGTAAAGTGAGAGCACATGAGTGGAACAACATCAAATAACTGCTTTAGATACTTTAGATTAAAAAATTGTTATGTATGGATAATGATTGGTATTATTTTTAAGTAAATGCAGTCAGGGTCATAGATTCAACCTAAAAAGGGATTCAGAAATTTCTGAGCATGGCTCATGGTGGATATTCTTACATGAGGTTTGTTTGTTTGGCTGGTTTTTTGGCCCAAGAGAGGGGAATGTTTTATGTATTTATTTTTTTTTAAATCAGGCACCGGAAGGAAACCACTAAGGGGAACGCATTCTTCAGATACTGGTTCCTGACCCTATTAGCTCCACAAATTCCTATTTGGCTATATGAAGAAGGCAGTTACAAGACAAAGCTGAAAAGGATGGCTTTTTAGGAGTCTGTGAGATATAAAATATACCACATTTCTGATTGTCAGACAGTAAGCATTTTTTCAAGAACATTTCTTTTAGAACCAGAGCAACAAGCTTTGGCAGCTTAAGGTTCATTCTTAGAAGTCCCAAGAGGCCTCTGGTATAGGCATCAGTATGCCCTGGAGGTTTTGGCAGCATTGGTAAAGAGGCCCTGGTTTCAAATGACAGGGAATAACTACCAAAAGCAGAGTGAGAAGAATAGAAAGCAATATTAGAGAAATGTCTACAAATTTGCGTGAGGTATCACCTGGAGCCCCAGAATACCAGGGAAATACCTCTATCACAGCATAAGCTAGCAAGGACAGTGAAGTTTGTTGCTGATAAATGATCTCTTCTGTATGGAAAAGTTGTTACAAACATGTTAGCACATAATGAGAGTATGTTGAAGATTCCAGCTTTTGTTTTACATTGTAGATATCCACACAGACATACCCAATGACTTTTTTTTTTTGGAGGGGGTGGGTATTAAGTATTAAACTCAGTGTTGCTCTACCAATGAGCTTCAGCATCCCAACCTTTTCTCGCTAAGTTGCCCAGGCTGACCACAAACTTGTAATCCTCCTGCCTCAGCCTCCAAAGTCACTAGGACGATAGACATGCTCTACTATGCCTAGTTTCACAAGAATTTTTAAGTGAAAAGCAATAGTTAAGTTATGGCCTAAATGTACAGTAGTTTATATTTAAAATAATCAGTTAATTTAAATCTATTACTTAATAAATTTTATAAATACTTTAGATAACATTATCTAAACTATTAAGACAGTGAATGATCCTACTTGAATAGGAAATATTTTATAAGTGACAAAAATAACTAACAAACCCAAAGTGGTTTTAATTATAGTGGCTAGGTAAGGAATGTCGACAATATGAAACTCTGTCATTTTTCTTCTAAATTATAAAATAGGAACCTAGGCTCAGTTTATGCCTTAAGACTCGTAGACTCACTTTAAATAACACATCCTTTCATACTATTTTGGGGCGCCTATCAGGACGTAGATTCCTCTATTACTTCACCCCACACTCTATTAACACAGCATGCAAACAGGTAAACTACCTATGTTTTAAAATGAATTTTAGTAGATGGACCCAATACCTTTATTTTACTTGTTTTTACGTGGTGCTGAGAATTGAACGCAATGCCTCTGCGTGGTAGGCAAGTGCTCTACCACTGAGCCACAGCCCCAGCACCAAAGCTATATAAACTTAAATATACAACAGCTTCTACCAATAATAGCTGCACAAATAGGAATGATACAAATTGACAGAATTATCTCAAATTCCATATATGAGAAATCTTGGGAAAATGAAAGTGTCTGTAATTGCATTGATGTCAAACCTAATGTTACAAACTATTTTTAGGAAAACATGATCAGAATTGGTGTAAAGCTAGTTAAAGTCTTTATGTATTGTATTTGATATAACTGTATACTTCATTACTGGAATAACTGTCTTAAAGTTATTTGTTCTAATATTACCTTTCCAAAAATTCTATAACATATATGGCCTCTGGAATTTCAGATAATGGTTTATGTTCCTAGAACATACAAGGTTATGTTTTGAGAACAAAGACAAAACACTGAGGACAGGGCCTAAGACATTAAAAATTTTCTACTTACATTCTTTTTGTACTTAATGCCAAAATACAATTTAGGTGGAAGAAATGTTATTTAAGTAATAAAAATTAAAATATTTAGAGTGGAATCTAGATTTGTGTGCTTCAAGTCTGAAATTTCTAGTGTGTAGATATGGAATAAATTACTGATAAATAAGTTAAGAATAAACAAGTCTCCTGCCTGGGTAAGGACCTCAGTTTCCTCACCTCTGCTCAGGCTGCATCCGCCTTATCAGAACTTAATAAGGCTCATATTAAAACGCCACACCATTTTTCAATGGAATCCTTTGCCACTGAACCCTGAAGTATCTGTTATAGCAAATAACAGATACTTTTGAAGCAGGGGAATTACATCTTTCTCTTCTTTATATTTTCCTTCACAAAATATTTAGTACTATTCCAAAATTAAAGTAATATTAGCTTGTATTTATTGAGTTCTTATTCCGCATCAGGCACTATGCTAAAGGCTTTATATACATTAACCCATGTAATCATAACAGAGAAGTATATATTTATGTACATTTAATAGAGAGGTTAAGGAATTCACTCAAAAGTTACATAAAGAGTAAGCTTGCAGAATTAGGACCTACAGAGTTGTTTTGCTCAATATGGTAGCCACTGGCCTCATGTGAGTTTGTTTAAAATTCTCCTCCTCTGTTCATAAACCTCATATCAAGAGTTCATTTTGCCATATGTGACTGAAAACTGCCCTACTGGAAGTGTAGTATAGAATATTTCCTTCATTGCAGGGCATTCTGTAGCACTGCCTAAATCTAAGCTCATGCCTATAATAAGCATTTAACATTTCACAAAATAAAATTGAAATGGGGACTATAAATTGAATTAATCATAATTTAGCTATATGCTTTTAAGAAGAAAGAGAAGATTATGAAATACAGGAGTTCGCTTCAGGATTGGTATACTATAATCCACTCCATGTGTTAATTGTTCACAGAAATGATCTCAAGGACTTGCAAAAGGAGAAGCAGTGGTTAAAAATCATCTGCCAATGAAACAAAGTACAGTGGTACATTTTTAAAGCTTTTTAACTGGAACAGTGGAATCCCTTTTCTGTTTTTCTTTATTAATCTTTTTTGTTAACCGAAATTGAGAAATCTACCAGCTAAGTGAGATAAACTGCTTTCTATGATTGTTTCCTGATAGCATCTTACTTTTAGCACCTTCTATTCCAAATTAATGAGAAATGAATACCTAATTTCAACATTAATATTCATCTTAACACCTCTAATGTATATGTTACTCCTATCATGCAATTTTATGTATTTTAATTTGGTCTGCTAGTTTAAATTAAAAAAGCATACTATATGTGATGTAACCTGGATTAATAATACAAATCTGAAAGTAAAAATGTTACACAGTTAAATTATACTATTATTTTTGAATATGAATGGAGAGGGATTATATACAGCTCAAAGACTAGAATAAAGTAGCTACAGCTAATTAAACTCAACCTACATTCTTTCAAAAGTGTGCACTCAAAAGGCACTAATATTTTCAGTATATTTGATAGGGCAAATCTGAACATCAAGATCAGTCAGGGGCTGGGATGTGGGTCAGTGGTAGATGCTTTACCAGCACACATGAGGCCTCAGATCCAATGCCTTATGTTACGCAAATGCTCTACCACTGAGCCACAACCCCAGCCAACATTCAAATTATTAAAGGGACAGGAGTCTATGAACTTTAAAAAAAAAAAAAAGTAAGACTGTTTTAAGATTCTGAAACAAAGGGAGACACAATTGAAAGGAAGTACTTAATTTGTTTTTCAGTTCTGGGTATTGAACCCAGGGATCTGAGCATGCCAGGCAAGTGTTCTACCACTGAGATACATCCCTAACCTTTTCTAATTTGAGAAAGCCCTTATTAAATTGTCAAGACTGACCCTGAACTTGTGATTCTCTTACTTCAGCCTCTGGAGTACCTGAGGTTACAGCATTGTGCCATTGGGCCAGGTTGTACTTACTCTTAACTCTATTAAAATAATTTAAAGCCAAATTGATTGTTGTTTGTCTATGCTATTTTTAATATTTCAGTATTTAGAAAATTTATTTCAGGTTCAGCATTAGACTCATAGTAAATATTCTTAAATGTAATTTATAATTTTATAGTTTCCATTTTGTCACATCAGGAAGGGTTTTTTTTGTTGTGGTTTTTAAAACAACCTAATGGAACAAAACATTGACTCTTTTTTTTTTTTTTTGGTGCGGGAGTGTGTGGGGG